GTACTAACATTAACAGACAATCCACTAAAAAATGACATATTACAAGACATGCAGACGCAAACTCCTAAACAACAACAAGAACAATGGAAAAGAAAAGGAGCACAATTAAAAAGGGGATTTACACCTGACCAGCAAATAAACCAATCCTTCCAAAATACTTATACAAATGGGCTGCTATATTGAGTCATGATTTTACTCATGTCTCAACGGGAGGGATGGTAGGATTGATTGAGCATCATTATACAGCATATGGATTTATATCCTATGCACAAAACTTTTGTAAAGCATGTTTAATATGTGCTAAACATAATTTTCAAGGAAATTTAAGACCTAAAAAAGGTGCTTTCCCTAAATCTATTTATTCTTTCCAGTTCATATATATGGATTTTATTGAACTAAATCCAAGTGAAGGTAAAAAATTCTGTTTAGTTATAATAGATTTGTTTTCTAAATGGATTGCAAGAAAGTGATAGTTAGATCAGATGAGTAATGACTAAAATCACTTTCTTAATTATTTTCTGGAACCTTACCATACTGCTTAGCACTCTAGTAATTCTACTGTGGTACTTGTTATAGAATACACATTTGGTCTCCTTCACCGACCTTCAGAGGAAGTCCATCGTACAAAGGGGGTTGTATTTTTAGTATACAACCATCTCAAACTGGTGAAGATTGTCCACAACTCTGCCGAAAGGTCATAGGAAGTAGACCATTGTGTAAAAAGATTACCCATAGGAAACTTTTTGAAGCTTGAACCTAGATAATGTTGCGATTATTCATATTAGTTTTGTCCTTAGCTCTCACTCAGGGCAAGGATTCTTGTTGCCCCCATGATCCAGCTATTTGTAAAAAGGGACATCTATCTCTGCTATAACTATACTAGAGTAATCAGTGTAGTGACTATTCCTTTTCAAACATTCTCGCAAAGATTCAAAATTGACCCAGGAGTCTGGCGAGGTTATGATTTCTACCTATATCCCCGTGTAGTTCAAAAAAACTCAAAAGAGTTGGGGAGATGTTTTTAGAACCACTGGACAGTGGAAGAAAGGATCATATGGATGGACATCTTTTAGCTAAGAAATGGATGAGTAGAATATCAGGGTTCACTGTTAACCATGACTCCAAAGTTTTCACTATGACGATAAACTCCACAGCAGAACCCCTTGAGAAGGAAGGCTGTTCCTCCTCATTTATATGTGCACGTTCTGCTGGAACCGATCCATGTTGGACATTGTATTTGTGCCCCGCAAATGTTACACAAGAAGAAAATGAGATACAAGGGATTCTTACTTCTGCCCAAGGTGACCAGATAAAAATTCAAAATATTAATGGTCCACTTAAAACAGATGAATTGTTTCAAGTCACCACTGGAATCTCTGGACAAACAAACAACTGGCTTTTAATGGCAGAACAAGCAGCTAAAACAGTGTCCAATGATTGTCTTGTGTGTATGGGAGCCAGACCACTGTTACGCGTGGTTCCTGCCACCATAACTCCACAATGTCTTCTAAACATCATGAATTATACAGTCCCAACTGATAATTGCACCTATTGGGATAAGATCTATCCCCTGACCACAGCTGAGAAAAAGAAACCAATCTTTTTGAAAAAAGTTGCTGTGGCAAATTTCACCTGTGTAAATAGGACCGGAGTGGGCCCAAAGCTGGGCACACTAAATGAAACACAATGTGCAAACATTTTACTGGTATCCATCTTTTTTCAACCTCAATCCCGCAGTGACATCTGGTGGTGGTGCAGAGATGACAGATTGTTTGACAGACTTCCATACAACACCACTGGATTGTGTGCTGCGGTCACTTTGATTTTACCTGTTTCTATTACATCACTCACAATGGATGAATTGTTAACGACTATAAACAGCATTTTACCTCACACAGGGCATACTAGAAGGAAGAGGTCATCTGAAAACGCATGGAGTGGAGATGACCCTACTTATATTGACAGCATTGGGGTACCTAGAGGTGTTCCAGATGAGTATAAACTAGCGAATCAAGTTACTGCAGGATTTGAATCTATCTTATGCTGGTGGTGTACTATAAACAAAAATGTAGACAGAATAAATTACATCCACTATAACGTCCAGAGGCTGGGAAATAAAACAGAAAAAGGCTTCTCCGCTGGCCATGAACAATTGTCAGCTACCTCTCTGATGGCTTTCCAGAACCGTATTGCTGTTGACATGTTGTTAGCTGAAAAAGGTGGTGTGTGCTCTATTTTTGGAGATCAGTGTTGCACCTTTATTCCCAACAACACCGCTGCTGATGGCAGCCTCACAAAGGCCCTTGAAGGCCTTCGCTCTCTTAACAGCAAAATGAAAGACCATTCTGGAGTTGACACAAAATTGTGGGACGGATTTGGAGACATTTTTGGTAAATACAAACAATTGGTAGTTTCTATTTTAATGTCTATAGCTGTATTTGCCGCCATCCTGACCTTATGTGGATGTTGTTGTATTCCATGTATTAGGATGCTGCTAAATAGACAGCGAAGAGGATGAAACCTCTTTACACTTTCCCGACGACAATAACCCACCAGCTTAAAGTACCCTTTACAGTTAAAAATGATTTCATAGTTGAAAATCTGAAAAGAAGTAACTATTGAATGATACAAAAAATAGCTTAAAGTGAATAAACAGGAGGGAAATGTTGGATTAATTGTACATAAGTTATTCTACTTTAATCATATTATACACATTTGTTATCTCTATCTCACTTATATTACAAAGAGTGAAATTTGCTTGCTATGATTACTAATGTTTTGCTGTCAGTTTGTGCAGGAGGATGTTGAGGTCAAAGCTGGGTTAATGTTGTGAAACTCGGAGAGCTGCGCAGAGTTGCACACACCGGATGTGGAGAGGAACTTTCCTTATCTTATGATGTTGTATGATGTTGTACGAAAGTTATGGTTTCAACTGACTTCTGTTGACCCCCCTTCCCCTTAACGGTTGAAACCACATTGTAACCAGGGCGTTCCAAATAAAAGCTTGGAGAGCAGAGACTGCTTCAGAGTGGGTTGGAGATTGTAACTGAATGCAGTTTCTGATCCCCTCTCCTTGCAAGTAAATTATACTCAAATTCTCTGTGTCTTTATTTCTGCAGGTTGCTGAATAAGGTGTTTGGTGTTTAAACCTAACAATAAAAGATTAAACGTAATTGTTGTTGCATGCAAACCTTAATGTGTGTCAGGACCTTTTCTCTCACGGGGGGGGGGGCCCTTAACCTGCCCATCTTTACCGAACCTCCTGTAACTGGGTCAACGGTAAAATGGACGCTTTTCTGTCTATTTATATGTAGGTACTTTAACTCTAGTCAATAAACAGCGAACCAGTTACTATTCTGCTGTAAGCCAACCATTTATAACTTTATGTCAGGTGCTATTTGAGTCCTAATTCTGAAAGTTAGGATGTTTTTTTCATTTTTTTATCATCCTTGATTTAGATCCATTAAGCAGGTTTTAGGTTTTATTTATTTTTAAACATACTTGTGTTAAATGTGCCAAAAAATGATTATTAATATTTCACTCTCTCAGGAAAATATGCCACTTTGATTCAAATCTTTCAGGAATTAATTATTTATTTTTGAAAATCTATAATATTAGTTAATAAACTCATAGCTTTTATGTATTTTAGTTGCATTTACCCAAACTATATCCCATATATTTGGTTAACTGTAAGGTTTATTTATTTTAAACACTTAAGCGATGAAAATTGCTGATTTCATTGTTTATATGTTTTAAATGATATAAGTAAATAATAATATTTTTGGAGGAAAGGAAAATCAATTTCTCTTAGCTTTTCATTTAGAGAAATCTAATTCAGATTAAACTGACACATAACTTTAGATTTTATCCTATTGGATTAAATTATTCATCCTTTTTCATCTATAAGTTGCTGTTTTGTTTACATTTTCATAAGTCAGAGCAACCATCACCTTTTCTCTGTCTTAGTCAGAACCTCAGACATTCATGGCACAGGGACAAAGCAACAACCACAAAATCATGAAGAGATGAAGCTAATCTCTCCGAGTGGCTGCTGTGGAAATAGAGAATTTGGTTTGTGACTAACACCTGTGCGCATTTCACAACTACTGTGTCAGACCATGTTTGGACCATTTTCTCTCTCTGGATTTGCCTAAGTTTTCATCTCCAGGTCCGTCCATAACATTATGGAACATGGTGACAGCAGGAAATGAACAAAACGAGACCCGTCCTGTTTTTAAACAACCACAGGCCTGATAATAAACGTTTTGTTTTCCAGTCCTGAAGCCGACATAGGAAAAGACAGTTGCTGCTGAGTTTTTCTCTTTTAAAAAGATAATTTTTGGTTTAGATATTTAAGGTTGGTTCTAATTTGATCAGAAATTACACTAAAAGAATCATGGTTTAGTGAAAGCCAATCAAGCCTTTCATTATCACCCTCATTAGACATTTCCCATAGATAAAGTCATGTCAGTCAGAAAGTCTGTCAGCAAGCATTTTCTTCATTGCAAGATGCAGAAAGGAATCTAATAAGAGAAAGTTATCAAACTTTTTTTGAATAGTTGGAAGTCTATAGAAATGGAAAATGAAATAAAAGAAAAGTAAAAAAAAAAAATATATAATCGATCACTTTACCCTTTACTGATTGCTGCCAAAAGGCGGTTTCAGTCCTGGAGCTCCACCACCTCAGTCCAAAAAAGGTCAGCCACTTCTCAAACAAAAAAAATTATTCAATAATTAAAAAATAATTTAGCACCGGAGAGAAGGAAAGCCTTATGTTGGTGCACCTCCTCCTTGTTTCCCCACAAAAAAAGAAATTCCCCAGTGTCTCTGTCCTCATAGTTTTTGCACACACACACATTGTGGAGCAAGTTGCAGCTCAGGTGAGCTATTAGGGTAAAACTATTCATGAATTGATTACCTATATTTCAAATCTAACTTTGTGTTTTTGTTTTTTTCTTATTTTATTTAACAGCTTGAAGGAACAAAAGACCTATCAGAGAAAGATTCTGTCTGTGACACTACCCTGGGACCTAGCAGGTGTCACAATGAGCAACAGGTGGTGGTTGGGGGAGAAAATACTTCTTCATGCTGTAAGCCATTTATGATTATGGTCTTGATCATTTAGCCTACTCCAAAAGAATCCATAGCATGTATTTTCATTTATAAAGTTCAAATTACAGTAACTACCACAAACCTAGTCAGCAGTGGAATCAAAAGGATTCCAAAATGTGTTTAACAAAAATGATAGATGGATATATACAGTACCAGTATAATGAAAATTAAGGATTTTGACCACATAATCATACTAACATGTTTGGATAAAATCTAGAACACCCAAGTCAGTCTGTCTCATTTAACAGGTTCTTGAACGGACAAAACAGCAGGTTAAACAAATCCGACGAGGCCTGAAAGATGCAGGTATCTGGGAATTTTTTAGCTCCAGGCCAGGCGCAGCTGAAGTCCTATTCCCAAGGGCCTGCGATGCAGAGATTACGCCAAAAGTAATGCTATATCAACAACTATCTTATTGCTCTTTTTTTCAAACAAGACATGTGCCACCATTTTTATCTGTAAAAATTGGACTGGTTTTAAAGATTTCGTAGGACAGCTGTACCACTGTCAAACAATGTAATTTAAGAAGGTAATTAATGTAATATGTTTTGTAGATGATTCTGGACAACATCACCTGGCCAAGAGAGGAGGACATTGATGAGGACATCATCAGCCTGGAGGAACACTGCAGCAATATGTCCTTCCTCCGAAAATTTATTGATGAAGGTATGTTCCCTTTATTGTGGATTAATGCTCTCTTTTACAGTGTACTACTACTGAAAACACCAAATTCTTCCAAATACTGCCACACAATTATGCGTTTTTGAAAACAATGTAGGAAAAAGAGATGGATGTTTAAAGACAAATATCAGGATCCAGGACATCACGTGCAAATACTTGCTTGTATTCCTCTTGCATGTACCACTGTATCTATGCATCCAGAGTATTGAGACAATTTGTGGAGCTGTGCATGTGTGTGTGAATATTCCAAAAAATGACTTTCAAATTCTAAGATGACTGACAAATAATTTTGCACTTGTACACAATGTCATGTTTTTTCAAAATCAAATCAAATCCAATTTTATTTGTATACCACATTTCATCAGCGAGGCATTTCAAAGTGCTTTACATAATTAAAAATAAAAACAGCATGTGACATTGAATAAACAGTGACAAAGAGAACAATTGGTAGTTGGACATATGGATGTACGGAAGATTACATGTGTTTTTTCAAATGTGTATTTACTGCAGGTAGTCCTGAAGTCCTGAAGGCATTGCTCATATTCTGGACTGGTTGGGGTGTTGTATCTTCAAACCTGGAGGTGGAAATCATCGACTGTGTCCTACCACAGTCATCAACTTGCTTTCTAACTCTCAAGCTTTCACGAAATTCAAGAAATTATGAAGAGTTTCATCATGATCTGCTGGCTAGCTTGTCCTCCTCAAACTCTGGATTTGGTCAAATTTGAGTATTTCAAAAGTTCATGTGTAGTTACTGTTCACACACAAAAAAATACATTTATAATCTCTTTTATGTGTAGGAGTTCAAAATATACATAGATTTAGATCTATTCCTGTTACAAATGTTAATTATGCACTTTTATTAAGGAAAACTCGGCACCAACATAATTGTTGTTGAGTTCAATTGACAAGGAAGGTTTTTCATTTTGACGGCATGTTGTTTGATCAAGACATCAGGTTCCTACATCTTTGGGTTGACCGCTAACAAAAAAGCTAGCTGAACATAAATACAGTGGGCACTGGTTGGAAATGGACGGTTTCCTGCGTGATTCCTGTGTGATTCCTGAGTGAATCACGATGTATTTCCTGAGGCCAGTTTTTTTTATTTCAAAAAGAACTGCAATGTACCCGGACAACCACCAGGCGGCACTTGGGAACTTTTTTTTTCTCCTTAAACCAGGCTGTTAAGATGCTGTCTTTAAAGCAGTTTTATTGGGGATCTTGGTGTGATATTGTGCTATTTTATGATGTTTTTGATTAAAATAAAGTTAATGAATTAATTTAACATAGTGACTGCATTATCTTATTTCATGAAAATTGTTGCATACTGTATGGGCGCAGTTATAGATACACCCTGCGATCTTATCTGAGAACTGTTTATTTCTATTTATCTGCATCTCTATTATTTAATGAAAAATGATTATAATTAAACTTTTTGGCAAAACAAATAACTGAATCAATAAAGGTCCGTGGATCATCCGTCCATTCGGGAGGGAGGGGGGTTCATGCAACGTCATTCCATCACCAGTATCTCGGTATCCAATCAGCTCACTGACTTGCGCGTTGATCAAAGCCATCTCTGACAACAGCATTGAAACACCACTATTTATCAAGACGGTCTGGCTGCAGCACCGCAGCTGTCAAACCAGTTCCGCTGCAGGCGCCTGTCACAGGCCACCTCCACCGTAGGGCCGGAAATAAACAAATTTAGCCACGCCCACCTCCCCCCAACCGACATCACCTGTTAAACGAAGAAGAAGGTTGTTGAACACGCGAGACTCCGCAACAATGGTTAGTTAATTTCTTACTTTTATCGCAAAGCAAAAGATGTCTGGCTTTCATATGCTTGTCAACAATGTATCGCTGTAGCGTTATATGTAAAGCACGTGCGGTTACTGAATGTAATATGCAATATGGGATGAAATAAAACGGCTGATGTTAGAACACAAACTGTTTATTAAGGACAGTACAACATAGATAAATTGTAAGTTACTATAAATACAAATATAGATTTAAGTACTAAATTTCAACCAGGAAAAAATTATTTTCCTTCTGCATATAGTCTTTAATGATTACACATGCACTCCATTTTCTATTTCATTTTTATTACAAGTATACGGTTTACAACAGTTTTCAATGGGATGAGAACATTTGGACACTGTGAAACAATGAGAGGTTTTTTTAATGAACGTGTGGAAAAGAACAAGGATCTGTTTGCTTTCAGAGGGAGGAGTAGACACTGCTGTCAGCGACCAGCTTTCAAGCAAACGTTTGTGTTTTATTATTAGTTTTAGATCAATATCACTGGCGATATTCTGCTATAACATGTGAAGTAAAGAATAAAACAGTAAAGCTCAACTTTCATACACGTAAAACCTTTCTAATTTCAAGTTCTGCACGTTGGAGTTGAAGCGGAGTTAAGTCGGGTTGTTCTTCCTACTCCGTGCGCGCTCCCGACGAGGGGATACAAATTTTCGCAGGGATAACTACCTTGGCACGACACCGGGACTGGCAGCCTCTCACACAACACGATCGTGTCATTTCTGGTAAATAATTGTGCCGAAAGAACAGCCGCGTGTGGCTTATCTCGACTTTCCACCTAATATGGTGGCTTTCCCTCGATGCACCGCGCCCGAGGTAAACAATTGACGTCACGTGGCGGAGACCGATTGTTTTCAGTTTGGCTGGCCTCATGTTGATGTCCGGACTCCGGAATCGGTCTTTGTCAGTCACGTGACTGACACGCCCCCTAGCGCCATTCATGTGGTGAGCGGAAGAAAAACAAAACAGCAGAAAACAAGAGGAGAGCGCTGCAAGCCAGCAGCGAGGATTATCAGTTAAATGGAAAAGAACAAGAAAACTGAACGGATACCCTACCCAGACAAACTTTCTAAAGCTGCTAGGGAACGAAATTATATATTATTATTACAGTGACAAGGCAGATGTTGTGGGCAGTTGCACAGATAGCTGCAGTTATTAGAGTAGTTTGTGCTGCTCATCAGACTGAACGAAAAAACAGGCCTGTTTTAACTGGGATCTGCAGTCTTCTTCACAGATATCAACTGTTAGGTCATATCTCTATGGAAGAACACAGTGAAAACAAGTCCAGGGAAAATGAAAATCTTCTAATTTAATCTAAAGAGCAATCTGCTATATACAAGGGTGGAAGACAAAGTAAAACATTTGAAGCTTTGCACTGTTCTGCATTATTTATGTATTTGAGATTTTGTATTGCATTTTCATAAATTCTCTGCTTGATTGAAAAGATAACACTTGTTTCAAATTTCAAACTCCACTCTTTATTGTACACACATTTTTACAACTTCAGAAACATTGTTAATATTTTAAGTGATGGTGAAACTTATATTTGTTTTGCTGTTATTTTTCAAAAGTAACTTTAAAAAAAGCAAAATTCTTTTTGTGTGAAAAGAAGAACAAAAAAAGAAGAATAAAGTTGAAATAGTACTTGATCTGGCATTCATTTATTAGTTGGTTTCTCTGTGAAAATTTCAAAACAGTCAATAATCACTGTGACTCTATGTCCAAAGGCCTCCACAAACTGATGAGGCATAATTTTGTGCAAGGTGTCTCTATCTGGCCACACAATTGCACGCTTTAGATTTGCATATAAAAATGACACCATTTCATTGAGTGTTCTGTACACTGTCTTTGGTGAAACACGGAAGAGATAAGCAAGGTGTTGTGAGGGCAGATCCAATCTCAGACGCATGAAGGTTGACAGAAGCATTTGAAATGGACTGAGAATTTTATTTTGAGCAGACATGAGAGGCAGCAGAAAATTAAACAAAGCCATAAAGGTTGCCAAGTTTGGTAGACCCGTATAGTACTTGACTTTTTCATTACTGTCTCCAAAGAAGCCATCAGAGATCCGCAGCTCATCAAGTTCACGCCGCAGCTCTCTGTTTTCTTCCAAAAGACGGTTCATCTCTGCACACCTGAGCACACACAGGTTACATTCTGTCTGTCCTTCCTGACGACCACCTTCTGTGTCATCCTTGGTGTTTGGCCGGCCAACGTTTTCAGCAGCCCTCTGCGTGTCAGTCTGTTGCTGGTTAGGGTTCTCTGTCGCCTCATGTGTCACTTCATCCTGTTGCTCAAGGATTTCATCAGCCTGATGGAGCCCCGTTTCAGTTGCTTGCAGGGCATTCTTTTTCAGCTGTTCCCGATAACCACGACTTAAAGAGCGGTCTGTGTCTGTTGGTTTGATGTCAGTGTGGCCCAGATGCACGGATGGAGCGCAGTCTGGGTCAGTCTCCATCATCTCATATGCGGGTTGACCTGCAAAGTAGATGAAATGTTGAGTTTTTTACACATCTATTCAAAACAATATATAAAGCACCTTAATAACAGAGCCCATTAGATTAGATGTGTAATAAAATAAGATAACCTTATGTGTCCCACAGTGGGGAAATTTGCTATACCGAAACAGCACAAGTACATCGGACTAGTAAGGCCAGAGGTAAATAAATAAACTGAAAAGCTTACAGACGAACAAAGGATTATAATAAATAAACTTAAGTAGATTGCACAGGATGAATAAATACAGTGAGTTGGCTGACGAGTGGGTATGTACAGTGTTTTTATATGTAGTGTATTTACATATATTTATTCATAAAAAAAAATATATTTGTATTGCAGATTGTGTAAATGATTATATACAGAGAATGCATTATTTATTAAATTTTAGCGGTCTAAAAAAGAAATAAACAAAACAAACATCACTTTCCGCTTCTCTTCCACAGCATGTTTCAGTAGGTTTACGTGAACTCCTGCAACTTTATAAGCAAACCATTTCAGCGTGTTGATTTCTATTAGTGTATATTTATAAGGACTTACCTTTGTGAAAATACCGAGAGCAAACACGAGCATGAGGGGATATTTTATGAAACGTGATGTCTTTCCTTCTTACAGCAGCGACTCATGCAGCCCGACGCCTCTTTGTTAAGTCCTCTGTCTGCGGTCCGTA